TCCCAGCCGCATGGACCACCTGTCAGTTCCTTGTCCTTCAGAAATGTTTTCTCTTCTAGAATTTATCACAGTTGCAGTCAATATTATTTATTTGTGTGTATAGTTCATTAGAACAAGGATTGACTATTCATAATTTTTGTTTCCTCAGCTTGGCACAAAGACTGGCAAATACTACATGAATACAAGCTACTTCATGTATGGATGGATGGGGGCAGATGAGTGATTGGCTGAGTAGATGTTACTGAGCCTCTGTTTCCCATTTACAGATTTGTTAACAGTACCCACCAAATGGTGGCTGAAGATTGTTGAGAGTATTTGTGATGACTGTTTCCATGTCATTCTCTCTCCTCTGATTGTCCTTAGCTTATCTAGGAAAATATGAATTATTTCCCAGCAGATTTCTGGTCAGTTATTGTTTCTAGTACAGTATGTTACAGCTCAAGTTTCTAACTCATTTTATTTATTGAAGATTTAAGTAGCTATATTGTACTGGAGTATGGATGTTGGAAGAAAAGGGCTGGAAGGGTATATGCCCACTCATAGATAATTAAAGGAAGAGTAAGATTATCATTTAGAGTTAGGCTCAGCTCCAAGTACCAGAGATGCGAAATTACAGTGACTTAAACAAGGCAGGACTTTTTATTTCTCTTTAACATTAAAATCAGAAAGTGGACAGTCCAAGGCTTGTATGGCAGTTCTATTTGGCAAAGTCCTCCAAGACCCAGCTCCCTTCTAGCATCATAGTTTCACTACCCTAGACTACGATTCTTTTTTGGTTTAAGATAGTGGCCAATCATCTATGTTCCAGGAAGCAAGCTGAATATGCTAGTTGGCCTTTAAGAAAGTTTTCTGGGAGGCACACAACACCTCTACTTAAGATTTTGGTCAGACTTTTTCATGTGGCTCCTAGCTGCAAGAGAGCTGAGAAATATAGTCTTTATTCTGTGATGCTCTGTACCTACCTAAAGCTGGAATGGAAGCCTGGAGGAATGGACAAAATACAGATCTTTGCAGAAAATATATGTAATATAAATATGTGCCAACAATCTGCAGTATGTAGTACTATTAACATTGGAAGGGTTAACAATTTACCTGTGTAATGTACCAGTGGGATCAAACCACTTGAGATCTTCAAACAGTATTGGTTATTAGCCATTTTGGCATCATGACTGTGTAAAAATTAAATAAGTGGCCTGGATCATAAATATATTACATGCAGAGAGTTAAATCTGATCTATTATGAAGATTGTGAGTTGTGTTTTAAATATGTAGTGACTTTCTTGCAGTGGCTCTAATAATCACATAGATAGTTGCATAGATTCTGGCCTGTATAGCCTAGAAAGCAGCTCTTCCTTGATTTCTCCCTCGTCACGTTCTACCTCATTTTCTTTTAACTTTATTCATAAAACTTCTTTTTCCCTGAAGTATATGGATAGAGGAGGCATAGCTCAAGAATATTGGTGAGGATTCTTGATCTGCCAGAAATGTTTTCTGAAACATGGTTGGAAGCCACTTCCTTACCATCTTTCACCACAAGCTTTTTGTTCTTGAATACTCAGAGACCAGCTTGTTACTTGGCACAGAGTTGCCACTTAATATACCCAGAGTAAAGTATTCCATTCTATGATAATGAATATGGAGTTCACAGATGTGTAAGAGAAAAGGTGAGGTTTAGGTTGGATTTTAATGCAGAAAGGAAAAATCGTGTCAAAAAAAGAAATTCTGGGTAGGAACCCAAAAATTCTCTTACAGTGACTTCATGTTTTTCTAATGAGTAAAAAGGTTTAAGCCAGCTTTACCATTATGTGATTCTTTTAATAGTAGGAATAAGCTCTTGATAGGATACATTTTAGTATAAAGAATAGAAAGATTATAAAGTTGTCAGAGTTGAATTTGTTAGCTTATTAAAAACTTAATCTAATATGGCCTAAAAAATAAGTACCGAAGAAAGAAAAAAAAACCACATCCGCTTGATATTTCTTGAAGTGGAAAAAAATGTTGATCTTATAGTTTGCACAATCTTTATTAGTAATTTTTTGTCAGAAGTATTTTCTCCATTTCTAATTTCTTAAATATTTACTTATCTCCTTTTCCTTGACGATGTGAGTTCCTTGAGGGTAGGGGCCTGTCTTATTCAATAGAAGATGACCCAAGACATTGCCGCTAATTTAAATAATTTTTCTTAGTATTTCTCTTAGTGTTTTTTTAATCTGCTTTTGATTTTATAATGTACCATAGGCTAATACTTTCTATCCTTTTGCCCAAAGGAATTTTACAGTCTCTAAACTGTAAAATCCAGTAGAGGTACAGAATGGAAAACCTGTAGTCTTTCTTGCCTAAGTTTACTGCTCCTTCTCTGCAATTAACACTTAGTATGTGTTTGTCTAGTTACTAGCGTCTTAAAGGAGCTTTTAGCAGACTCTCAAGGGACAAAAAAAAAAAAAAAAGTTTGGGGACTTAGCAGCTGAGTGGGATCTCCAAACACTAGTCTGAATTACCTCACTTGCACTGAGTCAAGGGGAGGGGAAGTTTAATAGCCTTTGATCCACTCACTGGCTTCCCAAGGGATATCATTCAGGTATCCCAGATACCCATAACAATAAGGTTCACAACACTATGAAGTAAATTCTGTTAATGTCACTTAATAGATGTTAAAATGAACACAGAAACGTTATTAAATGAGTAGCCCAGGATCATAGAGTTAGGTTGGTGGAAAGCCTGGATTAGAATGTAAGGCAATTTGACTACAAAATAGCCTACATTCTCAAGCACTGTACTATTAGTCTATTTCTCCTAGATAAAAATCTCTGCAGGTTATTTTCATTTTATAAGTGTCAAGAAATTTAGGCTCAGGGAATTTAAGTAGTTTGCTTAAGGACACACCTAGGAAATGATGGAATCAGAATTGAACTTCAGGTGGGCTGACTCCTGAGCCCTTAGTTTTAGCCATCTCCCCATACCTTTGTTTTATATCCTGTCAACTTCTGAAATTTTAATTGTTGACTTATTAAATGTTTGAAATTTACTTTGTTGCACCTTAATGCCTTCTATATTTTCTGGTTAAAGCATATGTATACTAACACAACCCCACTATTCTTGTTTACAAATTTCCAACCCTTTCAGAATCTTGTGACGATAGAATTCATTTCAGTGAAGTTATTTATAGGTGGGAGAAAGTGGAAGGGAACTATGTGACACAGTCCCTGCCTTCTGGTAGTTTGCTTTCTGTCTGGGAAAGACTTAAGTATGGAGGTTGACCTAGAACAAAAAACAGGATGTACCTACTTAAGTCTAAGTAGATGAACTTATGTACTAGATACTTTGGAACAATTTAAGATTGTTAAGATAAAAAGAGATTTTGCTTTGGGGCTCAGGAACCCTGAAGGTGAAATATAGGATATTGTTGTTATAGTTGTTTCACTTTCAGATATTTCAAATATCGCGATATTTTTGATGCAGTCGTGTGGAGATGGATAACAATTAATGTGTTAAATATTTACGTATCTTTAATGTGGCTTAAAAGTATTTTATATATTTTTAAATATGACTAATGAGTTAGCATATTTTATTTGGTACAAGTATGTTAGAGTTATAGCTTCTTTCATAGATTGGTATATTTGATAGCTTTCAATGGTTCTTGTTTTAAATTCTGACTTTCTTATTTGTATCATGCTTTTTTTTTTTTTTTTTTTTTTTT